CCACCTGATGTGAAAAAGTGTCTCACTGGCAAAGACCCTGATGCTGGGAAAGACTGAGGGCAGGAGGAAAAGGGAATGACAGAGCATAAGGTGGTTGGATAGCATCACTGACGTGATGGACTTGAGTTTGAGCAAGCTCCGGGAGTTGGGACAGGGAAGCCTGGCAAGCTCCAGTCCATGGCGTCACAAAGAGTCGGACATGACTGAGGGACTGAACTAAACTGATATGTATACACACATACCTATACATACACACCAATATATATACTTAAATATACACTCATATACATATATATACACCCACATATATATATATAAATGTATATATGCATATATCTATACACACACACATATACACACCCACCCATCTGCTAAAGCAGCCTCTCCCCAAAATGGCTCCAGCAGTCCATAACCCTTTTCAAAGATTTAAAATCCACCCACCCTGGTGGGAAACATAATTACTTTCACATTTGCACTTTCCCTGTCTCATTTTTGCAAGTCTCTGCAAAATGCTTATCAACCACCTGACTTGATCATAATACAGAAGGGTTTTAAGGGCAGTTTTCTTCACCTCTTCTCCTAGACAGAAGAGGTTAACCTTGCCTGAGTTTCTTGGCACATTTGAGGTCCGAGAGGCCCTGACAAATTCCTCCCCATGCAGGGGAATCATCTGGGAGGGTGATTTGAAATGCAGATTCCCAGACCCTGCTCCCAGGGTCAGAAGGGGTGGGTGCGGAGCAGACCCGGGAACGGCACTTGCCTAGGATGCTGGCAGATTATGATATGGAAGGCGGTTTACCAGAAATGAGCCAGGCACACAGCAAAAACCAATCAAGGAGATTTTGAATTTCAGCTGATGAGTAGAAAATATCTCACTATCTCAACACTCGATTAGCAAAAAGCAGTTCTTAAGGGTTGCTCATATCTTAAATCGCTTTCTCGCTCAGGGACACAGCTTTTATTTATTCCTTGTATCCATTCTACAAGACTTTAGCAAGCAAAGTGCGTGTGAACTCTCATACAAGTATTGTGCTCTGTGGAAACTGGCAAAGACAGGTTTTGCTTCCATTGGACGTCATCTGTGGAATCAGGCACCACGTCCGGGCCAGGCCCCGCGTGTTCAGCGCTGGTCAGCGAGGATGTGAGGTTCGTGGTAAAGGATGCAGCTTTTCAAAAAGCTCCCATCCAAACTGATACACAAAGCAGACTGAGGCTGAAATTTATACAGTATGTTTTGCTAGTATGGACTGTGGAAAAGTTTTATTCTCTCCAGATTTTGTTTCAGAGGACAGCAGAAAGAAAAGAATGAGATGCTTGTAATAACCTAAGTCGATGGTTGGAATTAAGCGATCCGGTACTTCTCCACAGACCTGATGACCTCTGGGTCATCTCTGTGTCTTTTTGTTCTCTCTCTGTTTTTTTTTTTAACAAACCTGAAGGGAGACCCCCCAGGTGGCAAACACTGGGTGGGCCACCATTGCCTCCCCGTGTTCAAAGTGCAAAAATGCTAACCCAGAATTTTCTTTCACTTCTAACAGGGCTCCCAATTTCAAAGCAGGTTTTGTGCTCATGTTCTAAAGCTCTCCACAAAAATTCCTGTAGTGGCAACAATGAAACAGCTAAATAACTCAGTGGAAATGAAGCCTGCAGGTCATGGTACTTTTGTAACATAAAAGGTATTTTCTACCTAAGCTAAAAGGCTGAAACACCAAACATTCACCCGAAAACCAAAAATACGTGGAATACCACACCTCTTCGAAACGGGAGGAAAACAGTGTAATAATGGGAATAAGAAAGACCAAGAAAGGCAATCCAAAGGTGTCAACCTTCTTCCAGAAAAGTAACGCACTCTGAGAACACCCACATCCTACATGTCCCATGAGAAAATGATGGCCCATAAATACAACGTGACTTGGATTGTGAGATGCAGATGTAGCAGCTTGTGAGCTAGTGTGTGGGCTATGACACGAGAGACATTATAACCGAATGTAAATGCATAGAACACGAATCGCTGTTGTTGTTTAGTCGCCAAGTTGTGTCCCACTCTTTTGCGACCCCATGGACTGCAGCCCGCCCATGGAATTTTGCAGGCAAGACTACTGGAGTGGATTGCCACTTTCTCCTCCAGGGGATCTTCCCGACCCAGGAATGGAACCTGAGTCTCCTGCACTGGTGGGTGGATTCTTTACCACTGAGCCACCAGGGAAGCCCAGAACATGAATAAATGCCGATAATCACAGAGATGCTAACCGAGAGCAGATATTAACATAAGAGAAAGCGTCACAACAACCTCTCCCAAACTCAAAGCCCCATCATCACCAACTGCCCTGGTTCACCATTAGCAGTTTTTGAAAACTTGACATTCTTCCCAAATATGATCCCCAAATAATATTACACTAGTCTCACACGTTTGATTCTTCTGTTCCTCTTCAACATTAGCTCCTAGAGGCACTTAAAGAATTACCTGACTTTAAGGGAAGTCAAACACTGAATTTAAATGATCATTTTAATTACCTAAACTTAGTCAATTAGCTACATGTTGAAAATATTTCATATCAATTTAATACATAAAAATAATAATCTGGTATGAAGTCCATAATAAACTGTCACATAAACTGTCTATAATAAGAATCACCATGATCATTAACAATAATTTAACTGCCCTAAAGTGAGAAGAGTGAATCTCTAATATTTTGTCTCCAGGACTGAGGAAAGAAAATATACAGAGAAAAATCTGAGATAATGAGAAATAAAGTGCTATTAAGATTGCTGTCACTTTTCAAAGGTCAATATCCAGAAAGGGATAAAAAATCAAAACAAAACCAAAAAATAAAAAACCCCAAAGTTCAAGAAAGATCAGGAGACCGAATGAATTTTCACTTGAATTGATGAGGTAAATGCGTAATTTTGACCAATAACACCAGGTAAACAATATTCAACAGATTTTTTTTTTTTTGGTAATATATAAGGTCTGGAAAAATGGACAATCAATTTTCTGACCTGCTTCCTAATGCTAACTAATTTTCATTAATCTCGATGAAAGCACTCAGGAGAGTAAGAACAAGAGCTGCCATGAGCTGATTTACATTTCTTTGCTATAAAACCAGAAGTGGATATCCAAAGAAAAAGATCAATAATGAGGAAAGACTGTCAAAATGTTAAACACACACTAGATGCTGTTCATCATTCTTTTTAAGAATTGGGAAGTTGTAGGGTCTGTTGAATTAAGCAATAAAGATGTTAAGAGGGATGAAACCAAACCACAGGCACATCTTAATGCCTCAGCTAGTTTCTCCATCTATAAAAATCAGGACACTCTTAACTGCTGTCTGTTAGATGTAAAGCACTCTGGAAGTACAAACTGCTAAATCAACTATGACTGTCAAAAAATTCTAACCATAATGTGCTAAATAATGATGAGGAAACATGGACTTTGAACTTGACCACTTTTTTTTTTTTCAAATTAATTGCACAAACAAGACTCTAATCTCTCATAGTATTAGACTTAGTATGGTGTTAGGTAACAAGCTCTAGGGATTCAAAAATCACTGAAAGGATCTTGTTTTTCCAACAGCTGTTGGTTCAACTTTACAGGCAGTAATGAAAGTAAGTTTACATCCTACTTCAGTAACGGCAGAAATATCACCATGACACCTGTGTCCACATTTTGGCTAATTCCAACTAGAGGCCATTCTACTCAAAATTCTGGTAGAAGTGTAAATCTATTAAGCAACCACTTTTTTCAGAATTTCCTTTTATTTTAGATTGATTTTGAAATCCCAAACCATGGTTATGTTTTAAACTGTTTTCCGGGAATTAGGATTTTCAGCTAGAATCACTGTTCTCTGCCCCTTCCAACCTCTTGGACTATCATATATATTAGATGGTAGGCCTATCAAAGAACACAGTGCTTTTTTAAGACTTGTTTAATGAGGAAAGAGGATAAAGATACTGGCACCAATTCTATAACCTTCCAAACTTTCTAGGCCTGTGGTGCTTGACCAGGTCATAAAATTTAAAATCTAAACTAGGAAAGCTAACATGATTGTACGACTCATCTCTAACACGTTGTTCTTTTCCCATATACATCTGAAATAACTACCAACAGCTATGAAACTGAAAAACAAACAAAAGACCCAAAGAATTTTAAATCACAGGAAGATGACAAAACCTTAATGATCAAATGCATTTTAATTCCTCCTCACTGAAAATATAACATCTGAAAAATATAGTCTTTTAAGTCCACAAGCTAATCAAACTTCTGCTTATGAAGTGCATTGTTCTGTGAATTATCTGGACAATTAGAAATAAAATGAAGCGATGAAGAACAGTTTAAACCAGGGGCCCCCAACCTCTGGGATGATCTGCAGTAAAGCCAATATAGTAACAGAAATAAAGTGCACAATAAATGTAATGCACTTGAATCATCCTGCAACCATCACTCCCCAAGTCCATGGAAAAATGGTCTTCCATGAAACCGGTCCCTTGTGCCAAAAAGACTGGGGACCGCTGGTTTAAACATCACTAAACAAACAGGTCTACATTCTGTTTATTATATATTTGGGGAGATAGTCAAGTCCAGTTACTATTTTAAGGAAAAACTAAACATCTGTGAAAGAAACCAAAGTAAAGGGTATGATTCACAATAAAATGCAAATATATAATTTTATCCTGTTAACAACCAAGACCTCAAATACCAGTTTTAGTGACTCATATTAATTTAATTGTGACATTAGCTTGTATAATCAGAGATGTAAAAAGACCACTGTGTTCCACACATAATTTCGCACCAGCATCTCATTTCATGAAACCATTAGTCAAGATGAGAGCCTCTGAACAAATTTATATTTGATTAGTTTCACTTATTTAAGAACGCTGAATAATTTAAGACTGCTGAAACGAGAGGAAAGCAAAGCGGGCATACTGCGGTGCTGAAGCTGTGGGCTCCCTGCCCATTCCCGGTGGACCAAGAATTCAGAACGATCAGGAACTGTGAGTACCTTCCAGGTGAAGCCACATCAGCCTCCCCTTCACAGCTATGACGGAGGCCACGCAGAGCTCTCCCGGGTTCCTGGGGTTCACGGCTTCAAGCTTCATGTTCTTTGTGAACCCCCGACTGAACGATGTCTGGAAGAGAAAGAGAATGGACACTGAGCCAGCAGATGACACAATGAGAAAACGCTCAGAGACAGTGGAACCAGCTGGCACAGCAGAAATGAACACACATGCACCCATGCACACACACACACATGTGCACATGCATACAAGTGCACAGATCATACTAAGATAGGTGAGTTCACACGTTTATTTCCCCATCACCTATGAGGAAAGGACCACACATTCTTCATCTGTGTCCCAGAAAAGAGAACTCTGCTTGGCACACAGCAGGTGCCCAATAATACCCGAATGAGTGAGAGGATGAGTCCATTCTCATTTCCCAGTTCTGTGTGCATCTTTCCGACCCCAGAATTACTGTGACACCAATCACTTCTCCTCTTCCCTGTGCTCCTCACTCACACCACACCGGGTACATTTCAGGGTGAAAGGAGACCGCAATCTCCACCTGGCATCACCTCCTTCAGCCTGATGTCTGTCCTCCAGCGTGTTTGTTTTGTTGTTTTAACTGCAGGTCTGCTGGTGTTGACCTTCTATCTGAAATGGTCCTTATTTTCCCTTTGATCCTTTTGCTTATTTTTATTTACTTTTGAAATTCACTTTTAAAAATATACATAGAGGGAAATTCATTCTTTTCAGTGTGATGTCCTAGGAAGGCAGGACTGTCAGATGAACGCACGCAATCATGCAGCCATAATCACAGTCAAGACACAGAACACGGCCGTCACCTGCAGAGGCCTGGCACTAAGACTCTGGTGATCAGTCCCTCCAGGACCCCCAACTCCTGGACCACTGGATCTATCTTCTGTTGCTCTAACTCCACTCCTCCTCTAACACCATTTAAGTAGACTGTTATTCTAGGGGGCCTTGCGAGTCTGGCCTTTTTCACTAAGCAAAGTGTTATCTGAGAGTCAGTCATGCTGTCACAGGACCGGCACCTCATTCTACTTCGTGCTGACTGGTATCTACAGAAGAACCACAGTTTCTCTCTCCATCTATCAGCTGGAGGGCAGCTGAGCGGTTTCCAGGCTTTGCCAGTTGTGAACAAAGCCACAATGGACACTCAAGGACAAGTTTTTGTGTGAACGTAAGTTCACTAATATGCTCAGGCTGCCAGAGCAAATACCACAGGCTGGCAAACTCAAACAACAGAAATGTTGACTCGTGGTTCTAGAAGCTAGAAATCCAAGATTAAGTCGTCAGCAAGGTGAATTTCTTCTGAGGCCTCTCCCTTGGCTTGAAGATGGCCATCTTTGCCATGTCTTCACACGGCCTCTCTGCCATGTATGGGGTCTGTGTCCTGATCTCCTTGTCTTATGGGGACGTGTCATGGTGGATACAGGCCCATCCACAGGACCCCACTATACCTAGTTACTCCCCTAAACACTCTAACTCCAAGTAGTCAACATTTTGAGCTGCTGAGAATTAGGACTGTAACACATGAATTCCGGGGGGACAAAATTCAGCCCCTAACACTAAGTTCTCATTTTTCTAGGGAAAGAAGGATTGCAGGGCCATAAGATAAATGCAAAAGTCTGTAAAAAAAAAAAAAAAAAAAAAGGGATGACCACTCCTGTGCACCTTTCTTCCAGGCAGCTGTTTCCCTCCAGAATCTGCCTGCTTATGTTCATTCTCCATGCTTCTCAGGTGCCTGTTTGGATATTCCATCCAGAATTTATAGTTGCTATCTTCAGGGGAATCAAGTCAGTATGAGCTTACTCAGCCAATACTAGAAGCAACACTCCCTCCTAGTATTTCAAAATAAATATGAAATTTTCCCCAAATTATCTACTACTTATAAGTTTTTTTATCTGAAGGTACAATACTATATAAATATATCTAATTTGAAATACATAAACTGAGATAAACAGGTTCCTGTAAGTAAGAGAGGTTACATCTTTATGTGACTTGTAGAAGGAAACCAAGGTAATTTGTATTTCCATGTTTTTTTTTAATGGAAGTTAAGTTGAAAATGCAATTAAATCTTTATGTTACCAGAACTAAATTATCCAATGTGTGTGTTAAGAAACCAATTTGCTCCTTTCCTTTATGTTTCTTCAGAAATAAAAATCAAAGAAAGTCTAGGTTGGCTGTTTTTCTGCAAGTGATCCTGCCAGGTTCATGACTATTAGGTATTGAGCTTCTTATTGATGACATAACCTGATAGGCTGCCTGAAAAGTCTCTAAGTAAGTTAAAATGCATTTTATCCTACTTAATAAGGGAAAGCTACAACTGTATAACCTACTTTCATTTTAGCTCACTGCAGGAGGGTAATTTATAAAGGACCAATAGCAAAACTATTACCTGTGAGTTGATTCTACTAAGTATTTGGCTATGTCAATCCATCTCAGAACCACCTCGGATTTTTAAACATCCCGAGGGCAACATCTTCCACGCACCGACTTCCGCATTACCCCTCCTCTAGTACACACAAGATGTGTGATTAAAAAATGAATTCACAATAAGCATGCCATTCAAGAGCACTTGTAGCCTGCTAATATCATCCAGCAAGGTCCCAATAATGCAACGCATGTGCCACCAGGCAGATACCCAAGCTGTCGATTAAATAAACAGACAACCAGATACAAAATTGGGGAGGGGCATCTGGATAACAAGTGCATTCCTAATTAAAACGCCAGTGTTTTCATTAATACAGATCTCATCTTGGTATGATGAATCCTGAAAGCTCAGAGGCCACCTGGGGACACAGCTCCTAACTCCCCATAAAGATCCATTTGAACAACGGCTAGCAGAAGGCATATAAAAAGATGCCTTGAGGGAAGCACGTTGTCCTGGAAGAAATAACTTGCAAATCCAGAACAAGATGGAGATGTGAAGGTTTTCTTTCCACGGCTAGAGTTGGGGAAGGACGATCTCCCATCTGGAAGAAAGCACGGCCTCAGAGGGGTCTGAGGATGTGATGAAGAGTTTCCAGAATTAAATGAAAGGCAGTGAAGCCAGTAGTTTCCATGACTAGTGATATCAATACAGCACAGAGTCCAGTTAGACTCCAGTGGACTTAACACGCCTTCAGAGCTGACCAGCTGCTGCTCTCTGCTGGCTGGTCGCACGCTGTCTCCATGCCCCCCAACATACACACAGACACACACACACACGCAGCTGTCTCCATACCCCCACCACACACACACACCCCCACCGTACAGCTCTGTCAATGCCGTGAAAGGCAATGTCTCCCAGTAGGAGTTCACCAGATCACATGCGGGGCCCTGATTTCCAGCCCTGCCACAGATGTGTTTCTGTATTTACGAGCACAAGCTGACCTCGTCATCAACCTACTTAATTTCCCCAAATCTGATTCTGATTTATGCTCAGTATTGAGCTTCTCTCTATTAAGCCAGCTCTTCCCAACAGAAAGGGCTGCCAACCGAGTCCCTAGAGGATAAATTATCCTGAGGCAGCAATGAATCAGCAGCTCTGGGAGCACGTGCTGGAAGACACGGCTTCGGTGTGGGAGCGCGACACTCTGCAGTAGGCACAGTCCCTGGCGGGAGGGCCAAGTCTTCATTCTCAGCATAACAAATGAACTTTCAAAACTAAATCCATGTGCAACATACAAGGCTATACCTTTGTGCCTCATTCTCAAGATGGAGATGATTCACATCCCTTTTCGGTTCCTATGTTTCAATGAATAGTTTATAAACTATTTTGTACAACAAACTCCTATAACTAAGCAAGTACACACATGTTTGAACACATACACAGTTATTTCATGTGTCACTGTGCCAAAAAGCTATTTGAATGGGTAGCTTAAAGTAAGCACAGCAGAAAAGTGTTGGATTTAGTATCTTATTACTTTAATCTAATAAAAAAATTTAGGAACATAATTTAACATTATTTCTCAGGAGCAGAGAGTCTCCCATTCCATGAACTTATCAATATTATACTCCATGGACTTCCCTGGCAGTCCACTGGTTAAGACTCCACACTCTCAATGCAGGGGGCACAGGTTTGATTCCTGGGCTGGGAACTAAGATCCTACAAGCCACACTCTGTTGGTGGTAGTTAGGTGCTCAGTTGTGGCTGACTCCTTTGCGACCCCGGACTGCAGTCTGCCAGGCTCCTCTGTCCATGGGATTTCCCAGGCAGGAATACTGGAATGGGTTGCCAGTTCCTCCTCCAGGGGATCATCCCAACTTAGGGATTGAAGCCACATCTCCTGCATTGGCAAGTAGATGCTTTACCACTGAGGCACCAGGGAAGCCCTATGTGGCCCAGGTACACAGTTAATAGGGGCCCTGGTGGCTGGCTGTCCACCAAAATCTGTCCTCCTCCTGCCAGCGTCCAGGCTCGAGGTGGGGGGGCAGTCACCCGACCAGGGCATACTTCCCACCCATGGCATCATGCCACCGAGTGACTGGTTCTCAACAGTGCAAGGTGACAGAAGTAATATGTAATGTGCGTCAGTATCAAACTCAGTGTCTAGAACCAAGGTTCTCCTCTCCGGGCTCTTCCTCTCCTGTCTGCTCACTAGATTCAGATGACCAAGCCAAGTACAAGCCCAGCCCAAGCCTCAGCACAAGGAGGAGAACCACCTGCTGATCAGAAATAACCTGTACCATCCACCGGGGAGAGAGAAACTTAAGACATGTTTCGTCTCCAGTCCGCCATCATCGCCCCAACTGATACAAGAGCAGAAAGGACTTGTCAAGACCAACATGAAATTTAGGCTCCTGGTGCAGGGTGGCACCCTGAGCCCAGCACGGTCAAGAAACAGGAAGCAACTTACACGGCACGTGCAACTCAAGGTGGGGAACACACACGAGAAAACGAGCAGCAAGAAGCAGGCGTCTTACGTTTCTGAAGCAGAAGGGAGGTGCCTCCTCTGTCCCATGCTGTTTGTGATAGTCCGCCCAGTCGAAGTCCTGGCCAGAGTAACCTGTGTGACAAACACAGATCCAACCCGTCAACGGAGCCGCGTCTCAGACCAAACAAAAGCGTTGCAGGGCGTCAGGGTTAAGGTAGGAAGAGGGGCAACTTCAGCCCCGCTCAAAATGTGAGGCCCTTTCTCAAGTGTGACAACATGTCGTAGTTTATGAGGGCTGAATGAAACACTGTAGAAAGTGCAAAGTACTAACTAAATACAGGTAAGCTGCACCATCATTACCATAATTCAGGGCCTGAACCAGGTGAAGGAGGGTATTTGCCCACATCATCACAGGTTGAGAGACAGATCTGCCTTGGGGAGAACAGATCAGAGTATCACACAAAACACACGTGCACACGGCATTGTGCACGAATACATGAACGTGCCTTCACATCAACTCTGAGTTCCCGTGAGCTTACAACTCGACATCTTCATGGAAACCGTGAGATTTTATTAGAAAACACTGCTAGAGAGGAATAACCTTTAAAGAGCAGCAGAAGGTAAGACAAATAGCAAAAGAGTAAGTTGATATTGTAGCAAGAAAGCCTCCACAGATATGGAAAGGGGGAGGAATAAACCTTGCCTTCGAACTGATGAAAAAGGAAGGAAAATGAGGACCCGAGAAGGTGGGCCTCTCGGGGGGGAGTTTTGCGGGCACATCTGAGATGCTGGGGAGTCTGAGAACCAGCTATTCATGTGTACTAAATTTAATGTGTTCCTTTATTCATTTCATCTGGAGGTGGGGAGAGCTACATAATTATACAATATATATATAGATCCATCATGACCACCAGGACAAGACATATGAGAAGTTTAAAACATAAAACAAGAAATGTTGAGTATATGACTGAACCTAGGTAGGAAAATATCTCTTAATGTGAGTGTCAACTGCATTCCTATAAACACAGGAAGACAACTGAAAAAAAAAAAAAATACAGCACCAATCAGGATTAACTGAAAGTGTGCAAATGTCCCTATAACCATCATTTTCGGTTCTCTCTTCACTGGTCCAAGTATACATAAAATCAACCTGTAAGGGATTTCTTAAGTATATTCTTAACCCAAGTCCCCTGACTTCTTTGCCCTGTATCATCATCATAAATTCTGCACCTGCAAATTCACTTAACATGGGGAACTCTGTTACTAAATCCCACAGCTGGAGACTACAGAAATTCCCACACTGAAGAAACTCAAGATAGTATTTGCTTCCAACTTACATGTGTACAAAACAGTATACTTTTCATTAAGTAAGCTCCAGGTACTCAATTGTTTTAAAGATGAGGGTGAGGATTAACCAAGAAGGCAGCCATCTTCCTGATCCGGGGACTAAGCCTTGACCCTCCCTCCCCACCATCAGTGGCAGAGCCTCTCCCCGCCCACCTTGTTCCTGAGACATCCCCGTAACGAGTGATAGTTCCTCAAGCAAGAAGACGACACGTCTCAGAGTCCTAAGATGCTGGGTACTCTGCGGCTAGTTATGAAGATGTTCTGCACGTTCTTCCACATGCCCTCCCCCAAGAGCTGCCCCTCCAGCCAGAGGGTTCTGGTTTCCGGAAGTAACCAAACCAACTTCCTTCTGACTATTCATAAACAAAACAAAATGCGTTTTAAGTAAGGTACTGCGAGCTTCTTTACAATCAAGGTAATCTTCCACTTCAAGTACTTTCTCTGGGATTGTTTTGGATCAAATCCTTGCATGAATATGTAAGAATGGAAAAATTTACTAAAAGATACGTAAAAGCCAGTGAGAAGTCACTAAAAGCTGGTGAGACATTCCTTTGCTGAACGCTGAACAAAAAGTACTGAACCAGGAAGGAGAACTAGATTAAAACCCAGTTCTAACAGGACTGGAATGAACCAAGGTCAGAGTAAATTAAATCTTCTGTACCTGACCTTCCCTATCTTCTAATCCACAAAATGAAGAAATGATAGTCAAAGTCTCCTTTGGTGGTAGTTTAGTCATTAAGTCGAGTCCAACTCTTGCAACCCCATAGACTGTAGCCTGCCAGTCACCCCCACCCACTGGATTTTCTCAAGAAGGCTGGAGTGGGTTGCCATTTCTTTCTCCAGGGGATCTTCTGAACCCAGGGATTGAACCCGCACCTTCTGCATTGCAGGTGGATCCTTTATTGACTAAGTCTCCAGAGAAGCCCTAAGTCTCCTCCAGCTGTAGCATTACCTGCCTCGGAGCCACTATTACCACTTATTAGTGCCAAGTAGGATACTCTCCCTTCCCTCTGTGGTGAATTCCCGTCTCTCCTCCTAGAGAAACGTGCAACGGGTTGAAGAGAGGTTACACAGCAAGACATTCCCTAGAAGAGCTCTCAACCGGACAGCTGGGGACAAGCTGAGTCCTGCAACGGAAGGGCCGTGTTTGTTTAGGGCCAGGGCAGACCGGCTGTGTTAAAGTCAAGATCTCCTTCTGTTCCATTTCTCTTCCCTGGGTCTCTGCTGCATTCTGGGTTACTTTGTGAGCAAAAGAAAATCTCATCAAGATGGTGGGGTAAAGTGAGAAGGGAGAAATAGGGGGGAAGAAAAACTATTATAAATGAATAGCAAAACATTTTCTGAAATATCATCAAATTTAGGTATTCGGTTTGGTTAGTATCTTGTTCAGATAAAACTTTCCAACTTAACAGATCACCTCTATTCCTCGTACAGATAAGACTTTTAGCTGGGTGATCTATCACATTCATAACCACCAGCTTCTAATGGATTTCAATCCTCCCCATAAACGCTGGACTCACGGTTTCTTAGACCTGCATTCAGTCCTTCTATATCCAGTTGCCAAGACTCTACGGGGAGTGATTTTCATTCTACTAATTTCAGGATATATCCAAGTTTTGCTGGGTACCTGAGCAGTAAGCCGTTATCCTGCCCCCAGAACTCTCCCCTTTCCTTGAACGTTTGAAAAACTTCAACTCCTCCTCCTCCTCCTCCTCCTCTCAAGAGACCTTCATTCACTGTCTCACTTGAAATTCTTCTCCTTTGGACTGATAATGAGCTCGCTTTGTAAAGCATTTTTGTGACAGCTCAGAAAATAACTGCTACATTAAAAAGCAAACTGCTGCGGCTCGTATAATAGAGACAACAGGGGTCAATTATACTCATTAATCAACAAAGACAGAACAAGAAGTACTAAGGCTTAACCGTAGCCAGGAAAGCATGTTTTAAACCCAGGAGGGAGGAAAATAGCAGAGAGGAAAAGAAAATAAAAGGAAATCAAAACCCCCTGGGCTATTAAATTTTGCAATGAGCTGCCATCAGAGACTGTTGAACCTCCATCACTAGGGTTATTTAAGCTTTAATTAGTGTTTATTCTGTATGAAGTTCCAACTGTTACAGGTCCAGGAGGAAACAGGTCGATGACCCATTTCCTTATGATACAAATTAATTGACATAAAACAGCTCCACTTGCAAACATTTACTACTGGCTGTGCAAGTGGACAATTCTTCTGAAATAGAACTTAGCAGTAAAAATGTCCATGAACGTTGACACAACAATTTCATTTCTGGGAATGTAGCCCATAAAAACAAACCCCTTCAAACTTATAAAATGTGATACATGAAGATACAATGGCATTATTAGTGATAATTCTGAGGATAAAAAAAAGATTTTTATATCCAAAAATAGAAAAAAATGATTATTGTGAGTTTAAATGAAAAGACTGCTGTAACCATATACAGTTATCAAACTGACATTAAAATATGCAAAGAAAAGGACTAGAGGAAATGTAAGAAAAACTTACTAGGAAATATCACAATCATTATCTGAGTGGTAGGACTTCAGGATACTTTTCTTTTACCTCTTTGCATTTTCTAAGTTTTCACTCATGTTCATGAATTATCTCAATAATAAAAACATATTGAAGGCATAATCAAAGATAATCAATTCAGTAACACAACATGTCAGCCTTCCACTTCTCCTTTACTAACAGAATCCGGACTGTATCCAATTACAAGAGAAAGTTACCTCTCTCACCACCACCAGGAAGTGAACCGGGACAACCCTGAGGCAATCATGGCGGTCTTCTGTCCCTTGCCAGGGACTTGGGATGGGAGGGAGGGCAAGGCTTTAAAAAAGGATTTCTCTCTCTCAAAAAAATTTTTAAAAAGGACCACAGGAGTAAAAGCTCCTATTCTGTGTTTTTTTTAAAAAGAGCAATCCCTGCCTTTGAAATCCACCACCTCCCTCCATATTTTTAGTTGACATTCATTTTCACGACCTTTCAAGCTGCCAATCTTGAAAATTTACACATTCATTTCCAATTGAATGAATCTGTTTTTACATTCATGGAATAGCACAGAAAAAGAAAAAGAAAAACAAGGAAAGATGGGGGAGGGAAACAAGTAAGTCCAGTTAGTATAAACACCAGCCTTATCCAAAGTCCTTATCTTTTAGAATAAATGTTGAGAAGTATTTAATGCATGGAAGGTCACAGTGTGACAAACACACTCTAAGTCGGCAGCCAGGCTCAACGTGTTATTCTGATTCATAAACAAATGTTAGGAGATGTAGATATGTCCCCAGGATGGAGTCTGATATCGCATAAATGTCAACTATCAAAGGCAAAACTAGCTTAAGAATCTTGAAGAACAAAGTAAATTCAGGGATAAGTGAGCAAAAGGGTTGCTTAGCTTGCAATTATCAGGAATGTTTTCAGATGCTAAAAATCCACCCAAAGAGTGGGGAGACCTGATGGCAACCGGGATGAGCACGGTCATGATGGCACCTAGTCAGACCTTGAGAATATGGAGTGGACTCACTGACAGCTCACACAGGGGCGTGAAACAGAAGAGTTATGGGTGACTGGGCCTTCAGTAATATCTACAGGGCTCTATTTCGTTGTTCAAAAAGCAGAATCAAATATGGCAAAGTGGTAGCCCTCTTTTCAATCAAGGTGGGAGGTCCATGAGTGTGTTTATTATTTTCTGCCCCCATTGGAATGTCTGAAATAGGAGACGAAAAATGTCTGGAAAAGAGAATACCAATTAGGGTTCATCACCATGTG